GGGCTGATAATCCGGCTTGACGAAGCTCTCGACGCCGTCCTCCACCACGCAGCTCACGGTGCGGGTCACCACGTAGGCACACCAGTTCCTGCGGGAGGGCGTCAGGGTGTCCCCCGGCACAGCCCCGGTGACCCCCGCCACGCACCGCACCCCCCTGGCACGCACCGCCCCCCCCCCGGCTCACCCCTATACTCGCCCCACCGGTAGCAGCCGTCACGGCCCAGCGCCGTGGGGGTAATGGGCTGGATCCTGCCCCACGGCGAAACCCACTCATTCCTGCCCTGCCCGGTGGCCCGTGGTGCCGGGGCCTCCGGTGCCACCGCAGGGGCCACAGCCCCTGGCTCTGGGGCAGCCCCTGGGGAGCCCTGTGGGATGGGGGGCTCTGACCGTGGGGCTCGGGGTGGCCAGGCAGGGTTTGGGGTGCCAGGCCCCCCGTCACGCCATGCTGCCTGCCCCACGCCCTGCCCCATCACCGCCCCACGTGTCCCCGGTCCCTTCTGCACCCGAGGGGTGGGGGCAGCCACCCACTGGGGGGGCTCAGCCACCTCACGGCCATTGTGGCCCCTAAACAGCACTCTGCACCCGGGGGTCCAACGCCCCCCTGAATCAGAGCAGATGGGGGGGCAGTGTCCCTGTGGGACACCTCTCCCCCCCACCCCGAGGATGGACGCCAGCCCCACAGTGTGGGCCCCCAGCCCGGCCCCACAGGCTGCAGGGACCCCAGCCCCACGATGTGGGCCCCCAGCCCAGCCCCACAGGCTGCAGGGACCCCAGCGCAGCCATATATGGTCTGAGCCCAGAGCCCAGAGCCCAGCCCCACACCCAGCGCCCCCAGCCCCACACGGAGCACCCCCCCGGGCAGCCCCGTAGGGAGCGGCCCCCCGGGCCCCTTGTCCCCTGCGGCGGGCGCTGGGGGCCCGTAGCCACGGCCGGTTCCCGTCAGCCCGGCTGGTTCCCCTCAGGCCCCGGCTGGATTCCAGCTCCTCCCCGGGGGCCGCCGGGAATTCCTGCGCCGACCCACGGCCCCCCCTCGCTCCCTCCTGCCCTTCCATTCCCTTCC